CGTGCAGGTCGCGTGGTCCGCACCCCGCCCGGCCGTCTTTGTCTCCCCAGTGTTGATGCTTACACACAGCACCGGGTACTCAGTTAAGGCGAAGTCGACCTTGGGGGAGGCCCAGGACAGGTTCAGATATTCGCCGTCACTGCTATTGGCCGTGAGCGTTAATGAACTTGGCTGGCCGAGCACAACGTCGCTAGAGGCGCAAGTTGCCACGGGGTCCTACAGCAAAGTAGAATAAGCGGCCCCTCACCCGAGGCCCCCACAGCCGCCCCCCTCGCTCACGCTTCCGTAGCCCGCACCACTCACCCCCCAGCGCGGCCCTCACGGCCCCTCCACCCAACCGCGTGACGAACCGCCGCGCGTGCAACGCACCACACACGCGGGGTCTACTGCTGGCCCGTACCTATATACACTATGTTCAACTTCTTTCACACCGTACATGGTGGACACTATGTGTGTGCTGCAAGTTGTGAGTGGTGGAGGTACCTCACTCCGCCTCATCATCTGTGGCGTCTCAGCCCCGTGGCTCGTGGTCACCACAAGCACTGCCGCCATGCCGCCACTTCTCGGCCTGCGGGATACAGTCACCACAGGGCCACGTGGCGCCACAGAAGCACGTGGGCCCAGGAGTGTGACGTATAGACCAGAGGCGACAGGAAGATCAATACGAAGTGGGCGTCGCTAGAGTGACGTCACTTCCTTAGCAACGGTTGTCACTGCCGACGCTTCTTCGTGGGAGTAGGACGCATTCTCTGCGCGCTGGAGCATCGCATTCGTGGTCACACTTTGTCAACATCGCAAAGAAACAACGTCAACACGGTTAAATCACTTGGTAAACCTCGTTGGACAAACATCGGTGACGTTGAACACGTCATTAACATAGTTAACAACGTCTTTGGCAAACGTGCGCATCCGCGACGTCTCTTTCTACCGTTCAAGGCGATATCTTCCGTGAGTACATCCGCACGTGCGCTGTAACAGGATAACATTCATCTGAGACAACATTAATTATACATTATTTAAATTCTTAGGGAAGCCAATCGGCATCAGTGGTTAGGCTAACAGCCAAAACATTCCACCAATGTGCTTTTTAGATACACAAATCCTCTTTATCTATATAAAATGGAAATGTGTGAATATGTGTCTGTTCGAAAATTTTAGCGTACTTCCCAACATGCAATAAACTTGAAATTTGGTATGTGGGTAGCTTCTAGACTGTACACAATGGAAAAAGTGAGCGGTGACGTCACATCTGTGATGTCACCCGCATGCGGCAGCGTCACGCAGTGTGCCTGCTGACGTCACGCAGTGTGCCTGCTGACGTCACGCAGTGTGCCTGCTGACGTCACGCCCCCCCACCCTCTGCGTAGGCCGTGTATTAAGCCAAGACAAGAATCCAAGTCCCGGGCGAAGCCAGCTAGTAAAGCTAGTTGATCTATAAATCGAGTGACAGGAATAACTTGGCCGATTAAAAAAATGCTTCTGCTTGATCAAATAGATGTCAGAGGTCAATCACTGCTCGAACATGTCGACGCTATTAAAAATGTCATAGCTCAATCAATGCTCAATCAACGATCGATCAGATAGACAGACATTGAAATATCATAGCTCGATCACTGCTCGATCACATCGGCACATGTAAGCGGGTGTAACTGCAGCAAGATGTTAACTACCTCGCCTGGTATACAGGAGGTTGTGGGTTCGATCGTGACCCTGATGCCTGGCTCTATACACTTTCAATTCATGAGCTATATATTTCAGTGGGCCTTACCTGGTAAAATGAAAAATAATGAATAGTTTGTAGTTAATTATCAAAATGTCATAGCATGATCAATGCTCGATAACATAGACACGTAATAGAAGTGTCATAGTTCAATCACTGCTTAATCAATGCTTGATCAGATAGACACATTCAAAATTCCATAGCTCGATCACTGCTTTTAACAATGCTCGATAACATCGACAGATGTGTTTAAAATGTCATATCTCGATCACTGCTCGATCACATAGACACAGGGTCGTAAAATGTCATAGCTCGATTAGTACTCGATCATATAGACACATGTATTCAAAATATCATAAATTGATCAATGGCTGATCACATAGTTACATGTATTCTAAATGTCATAGCTCAAACAAGGCCCGATTCCAAAGACGCATGTGTTAAAAATGTCGCGTTACTCAATTAGTGCTCGATCACATAGACACGTATTCGAAATGTCATATCTCGATCACTGTTCAAACACATCAACACGCATAAAAAATGTCATAGCTTGGTTACTGCTCGAACACATCGACACGTATTCAAAATGTCACAGCTCAATCACTACTGACCTGTACATGGTGGACACTGTATGTGCCACAAGTTGTGAGTCGTGGAGTCAGTGGGAAATATTTGACCCGAGCTCATTCGGTCTCATCATCTGTGGCGTCTAGGTGCCGTGGGTACGCAGTTTGCGCAAGCGGCTCCACAAGTGGGGACTTCGGTTCTCCGTCAGGGTTGGGCGTGCCCGCCGTGCGCTTGAACATCGCATCCAGGACCACACTTTGTCAACATTGTTAACAGTTAATTGACTTGGTAATCTTCGTTGACTAACATCGAGGTTTAACACGTCCTTAACATAGTTAACAAAGTCGTTGACAAACGTGAATATCTACAACATCTCTTTGTACCTTCAAGGCGATATCTTACGTGAGTACATTCCCCCACGCATTCTTCGACACGCACTGTGACAGAATGAAATTAATCTACGATAAAATTAATGATAGATTATGTTCATGTTCAGGGAAGTCAATCAGCATAAATGGGAGGGCTGATAGCCAACACATTCCACCAATGGGCCTTTTTGATGCACAAATCCTTTTTTTCGATACGTACATCTTCTGACAGGAACCACTTTACCGATAAAAAAATCACCCCTGCATGATCATTGCTTGATTACGTATTAAAATCATAGCTCGATCATTGATTGATTAATGCTCGCTCACATAGACACATGTAATGGTACCATGGTGGCGAGATGTTAATTACCTTACCTGGTATACGGGAGGTTGTGGGATTAAATCTCTATCCCGACCCTGACACCTGTATATTTAGAGTTTGCATGTTTTCCCCGTGGTCATATGGATTTTTCTCCAGGTCCTGTACTTCTTCCACTTTTAGAAACATGCATTTAGAGCAGGGGTGGGGAACCTTTTTTCTGCCAAGGGCCATTTGGATATTTATAACATAATTTCCGGGCCATACTAAATTATCACCTTAAAAATTAGTCTGTTATATTTGGTCAAACATTTAATTAACTCACCCCTAATGTGATGGATGGAACAGACCAAATGATTTCGCGGGCCTTATACGGCCCGCGGGCCGGACGTTCCCCACCCCTGATTTAGAGTATTTGGCTGCTATACATTTTCATATCATAAGTCACTTTTTTTAGCTCTCATTTGTAGCCAGGCTATCATTTGTGGCCAGGTCGCTTCTCCAAAAGTGTTATATAACTCAGTGGGCCTTATCTGGTAAAATAAAGCGTGTTTTTTTATAGTTGTTAGTTTAACATCAAAATGTCATATCGATCACTGCTCGATCACATAGACACAAGCATTAAAAATGTCATAGGTCAATCACTGTTCGAACAATGCTCAATAACATAGATAGATGTATTTAAAATGTCATATCTCGATTATTGCTCGGTTACAGACTCAAGTTTTTACAATGTAAAAGCACGATCACGCCTCGATCATATAGACACATGTATTAAAAATATCGTAAATTTATCAATTCTTGATCACATAGTCACATGTATTCAAAATGTCATAGCTCAACCAAGGTTCGATTACAAAGACACGTGTATACAAAATGTCATGTAAATCTATCAATGCTCGATCACATAGACGCACAATTTCAAAATGTCAGCTAGGATCACTGCCCGATCATATAGACACATGGATTAAAAATGTCATAACTCAATCACTACTGACCCGTATATGATGGACTATGTTTATGTATGTGCCACAAGTTGTGAGTGATGGAGTCAGTTGGCAACATTTGACCTGAGCTCAGTCATCTTCATCATCTGTGGCATGTAGGCGCCGTGAGTACGCGGTCTCAGCAAGAGGCTCCACAAGTGGTGACTTCGCTTTTCTGTGGGGTCGGGGGTGCTCGTGGTGCGCTTGAGCATCGCATCCAGGACCACACTCCGACAACATCGCAAGGAAACATCGTTAACACAGTTATCTGACTTAGTAGACTTCGTTGACAAACATCAACGAGGTTGAACACGTCATTAACAATCTTAAGAAAGACATCGACAAACGTGAACATGCACGACGTCAAGGCAATGTTTTCCGTGAGTACATTCACCCCTCGCATTTGTCCACATGCACACACACACATGATACATAGATTCCCATGTCACCCTCACACAGACACGCAGAGACGAATGTCCCCCTACAGTCATACGGACGACTGGGGAAACCCTTGTTAGTGTGCTCCTATTGAGGCTGAGGCAGCACACAAGCAGTATTTTTGGTCCGCACTACACCTGGCTGCCTTTTCCTCCCCAGTGCTGATGTTTATACATCGCACTGGGTACTCAGTGAAGTCTTAGTCGAACTTTTCTTGTCCCACGCCCCTGCACGGCCCCCTACGGTCTCTTCCTCCCCAGCCCTGGGTGGGATGGGGGGGGGCATGGGATGGCAGGGGTTGTGGGGTCCACGTGGGGGGGCAGGGGGCAAGGGATGCGGCCCATTGTGCTATTTTGCCGTAGACTTGCGATAGATTACAGTAATTATTCGGAGCGGTATCCACATAGGTTGAGTGAGATATGGGGAGTGACACAGATGGTAAGAGACATGGGGAGTGAGACAGGAAGTGAGACATGATGATGATGGTTACCTTGATGATTGTTGTGGTGGTAATGATGAAAGATGATGGTGGTTGTGATGATGAAGACGGTGATGATGGTTATGGTGGTTATAAACTGTGATGTGATTAGCCTCTCATGTGCTGATGTTATTTTGTTGCAGGGTGGAGAGAAGAGTGAACTTAGGGGAAGTGAGTAACTCCACACACAGACACAAAAAACAAAGAAACATGCACCTGTATACAAAGATCCCTGTATAGCCTTAATAGGCTGTTGAAGCAAGTGATATTAGCGAGTTGCACCGAACTCTAGTCGATGCCCACAGACACTACTGCTCCCAACCACTCATACAGACACTGCACATAGACACATACAAATACCAAAATCTTGCATATAGCCTTGAGCCATTATAGAACCAAGTATTTTTAATGAGCATCTATGAAAGCTGGCACAGTACACGAGGGGTGGGTTTCCAGCACCATAATTGACTGCGTTTGTCTCCCAAGTGTCGATGTTTACACACCGCATCAGGTACTTATTTGAGGCTGAGTGGACCTAGGGAAAGCCCAGCACCGGTTCACATAACAGCAGCCATCATTCGCCACTAAGTGGCGATGACATCACCATGGCGCTTGTTCCAGGCTGGGTGCACTACGAGGCCACGTGAAGTGTCGAAGGCTCGCTCACAGGAGTTTAGGAGACAGACCCAGGTGCCATGGCTTGACCGACTGAGATAACTGGCAGACACACCACCTGTACCCACTACTGTGCCAACTTGCTGCATTTTAGCCATCCGGAGCACCACTTGTGAGCATCCCTCCTGCCCTCCGTTGTCGCTGGAGGGTGACTGCCTTCAACTGCCCAGTAGAATCCTTCACGAGCTTCCTCCATAGTGGCTGATCTTGACACCAGTGGTACTAGTTTTCGGAAAGTCCACTCAGCTCCATATTCTTCTGTACCACATCAGTCCATCTCTTCTCCAGCCTGTGCCACGCCCATTTAGCCCCTTCTATCTGACAAAATAAAAACTGCTTGCACATGTGGTGGCTGAGCATGCAGGCTACATGACCCAGTTAAAGCAGCCATGTCCACCAGAGTAGCTCACTATTGGGAATGTGTCCAGATATTTTAAGGGCTTGTGAGCCCCACAGATAATCCAGCCTGGTTGAACCCAGGATGGATCGTGGGCAGGCCAGCCCGAAAGTTTCAAACTGGTGCAAATGTTTCATTAGAGGGGTCCACGGGAGGGCATGACTGTGGCAAAGAAGACCCAGAGCTATGATGTCTAGTGATAGACAGGTAGATTCCCCACAGCCTTATGCAGCTGATGAAAATATGCCACTTGGCAGATTTGAAGTGAGACCTCTGCTGCCAAACCGGAGTACCCATCTTTGCCCGGGTGAAAAATATATTGAAAAACTTGTCTTTTCTTAAAAACATAACAAATACATACACAAATACTAAGATATTGTGAAAACCCAGTTTTCCGTTTGTCAGTCCATTTGTCCGTCAACAAAATTATAAGAGGCTTGCAGAAGTCCTGAATGAAAAAGTTATAGAAATTGGGGGGTAAATAGTTGATCTAAAAGGTTTCAAAAAATTGTCGACCCCCCCCTCCTCCAAAAATCTTTTCACCCCCCCCCCCGCAGCCAATTATTATTTTGTAGGCATATATACCTACACACCCAACATACAATAGAGTCAGTAGTATCTAGTGACTATAGTAGTACCTACTGACTCTAAAGTAGCACCGAGTGATTCTATATTAGTATCTACTGACTCTTATGTTAGTATCTACTGACTGTATAGTAGTATCTACTGACAGTAGTAGTATCTACTGACTCTACAATAGTCTCTACTGCCTCTATAGTAGTATATACCGACTCTACAGTAGTAACTACTGAATCTACATTATTATCTTAATGACTATAGTAGTAACTACTGACTCTACAGTAGTATCCACTGACTCTATAGTACTATTTCGATTTAAAGCTTTCGTGACTGCAGGGATTCATCTTCTTGGTTCTTTCGGTAAAGTCACGTAGAAGGGAAGTAATAAAATAATAAAAATAAAACATAATAAAACAATTCTCACGACGTTTCGGCCACAACGCAAGCAGCCGTCCTCAGGTGAAAACCAGCCCAATGCATCTCCGACCATGAACACATTTCCAGTGAACTCAAACACGTACGCCAAGCTCTTAAGGCTAATGGTTACTCCGACTACACAATCCGCAAAGCCATCACTCCAACCATCAAGAAGGATCCTGTTGAGGAGCCTTTCAAGACCATCACCTTACCCTACATTGCTGGGGTCACAAAAACGATCTCCAAAATCCTGATAAAACACAAGATCCAGGTCCGATTCAACACAGTACATAAAATCCGTGATCTGGTCCCGTCTGTAAAAGATGTGGTTCCAGACATACAGTACCCTGGCGTCTACAAACTAAGTTGCTTCTGTGGTAGCAGTTACATTGGAGAAACCAAACGACATGTCTCGGACCGCATCCGTGAACATAAAGCAGACTTGAAACATGGTAGGACAAACACCTCAGCCGTGGCAGATCACTGTTACAATTCAGTGGGCTCACATGATATTGACTTCTCCAAGACAGAGGTTCTCTGCAAGCCATCTGGCTACCATGAGAGATTCGTTCATGAGGCGATCCACATATACAAACACAGAGACAATTTCAACCGAGAAGATGGATTCTGGCTTAGCAATCATTGGAAGGACGTAATAAACCATTTCGGATCTTAACTGATTGTGTTCACGTTTACGGTGACTTTCAGACCGCGTTCCACTCACTGGCATGGTGCAGTGTGCAGAGTAATGTATGGTGTCGTAATTGTATAGTAAACATATAGCAGTGTGATACACATTCGGGTGGGTAGAATAATACATAGTGTTATATTAAAATGGATAAGGCAGCAACTGCAGCAGCAGCAGCAAGTGCAGCAGCAGCAGTAACAGCAGCAGCAGCAACTGCAGCAGCAGCAGCAACTGCAGCAGCAGCAGAAACTGCAGCAGCAGCAGCAACTGCAGCAGCAGCAGTAACTGCAGCTTCCTTTGATGCTGTTAATCCTGCATAATGCACATGCATATGCAGTACTAATCACATTCCTGCATTTCCCATAAATATGCTAAATTCCTTTTGATATGCAAATTCCTTTGTCAATGCGCCCAGCTTATATATATGCTCCAAGCTCGTGTGCTGTTTCATTCAGACTCTGTCGCCTCGACGGACCTGGTTTTCACCTGAGGACGGCTGCTTGCGTTGTGGCCGAAACGTCGTGAGAATTGTTTTATTATGTTTTATTTTTATTATTTTATTACTTCCCTTCTACGTGACTTTACCGAAAGAACCAAGAAGATCTATAGTACTATCTACTAAGTGCAGTAGTATCTACTGACTATAGTAGTATCTACTGATTGTACAGTAGTATCTACCGACTCTACAGTAATATCTTCCGACTCTACAGTAGAAACTACTGACTCTACAGTAGTAGCTAGTGACTCTACAGTAGTATCTCATGACCATACAGTAGTATCTACTGAATATAGTAGTATTTACTGACTCTGCAGCAGCACCTACTGACTCTATAGCAGTATCTACTAACTCTACAGTAGTATCTACTGACTCTATAGTAGTATCTAATAATTCTATAGTAGTATCTACGGATTGTCCAGTAGGATCTACCGACTCTACAATAGTAGCTACCGACTCTACAATAGTATCTACCGACTCTAAAGTAGTATCTACTTACTCTACAGTAATATCTATCGACTCTATAGTAGGATCTACCGACTCTACAGTAGTAGCTACCGACTCTACAATAGTATCTACCGACTCTAAAGTAGTATCTACTTACTCTACAGTAATATCTATCGACTCTATAGTAGTATCTACCGACTCGATAGCAGTATCTACCGACTATAGTAGTATCTACCGACTCTACAGTAGTATCTACCAACTCTACAGTATCTTCTTGGTTCTTTCGGTAGTCACGTAGAAGGGAAATAATAAAATAATAAAAATACAACATAATTATTGTTTTATTTTTATTCTTATTTTTATTTCCCTTCTACGTGACTTTACCGAAAGAACCAAGAAGATGAATCCCTGCAGTCACGACAGCTTTAAATCGAAACTCTACAGTAGTATATATCGACTCTTCAGTAGTAAATACACACATTGGGGGGGAGAGGACATCACACTGTTCAGGAATTACTGTGCTGTGGTTACGTGTTTTTTCTCTCCACCTTTTTAATGCGAAGGAGAACCTCCCTCTCTCCGGACGCCGCTCAGCGAGCTCGTGTGCGTTGCTAGGGGCAACCACGAGTCAGCGTTTCTGCACATGCGCAGATGCGTGCTTTGGCGCCACGATCAGCATAATAACAAATTGTTATAAAGTGTGATTTTATTAGTTTACATTTGAGCAAGGGCAAAAACAAATAGCGCTTTTTCATCCAGGAGCTTAGTGTGTTGTATCTGTGTATTTTATTGAAACGTAAACCCAACAGTTTGTCAGTGAAAAGCGTTCCAAGGATAGGCATGCGCAGACAGACATACAGACAAAAAATGACGTTTAGAGGTAAAACTATGTCCCATCTAGGCCCCTGCGTTCACAACCTCTATTATCCCTCACTCCGCACCCCCCACCCCCCCCTTCCTGTGTTCAGTCACATATCCGCTCCTTTTCCCTCCTGGCTCCCCTCCATTGGAATAAATTGCCACTTCACATCAAAATTTGCCACTTCACAACTTTACGAACCATTTTTCATTCCTCCCTTAAGACTCATCTTTTGTAATAGTGTATCACTCTACTAGTTTCTGTCCTCCCATCTTAAAACCTTAACCATCCTCCCTATTCCCTTCTAACCTTGCCCCTCCCTTTCCCTATCATCACACTTCCTTACCATCTTTTCCCCTCCCCAACACTCAAACCCCATCCCTTTTCCCCATCAGCCAATACTATTGTACAATGTATAATTCTTGTAAAGCGCTGGAAAAAAGCGCGATATGAAATCCCAGACAAGAAAATCCTAGATAAGATAAACATCAGGGCTGCCCCTGGCTCTCTGGCCGCTCTGGGTAGTCTCTGGGCTCCAGCGCCCCAGCTCTCCTCTTCTCCTCTCCTCCCCTTCTCTTCTCCTCCTTCCCCTCTAACGTAGCTCACTAATATAATCATTGTATGAATGAGCCAACATATAAGAATCAATAATGTATTGCATAGCTGATTCATGCTTTCTCTTGTGAAACAATCGCCATATTACAAATTTAGCCAGACCTCCATAGCTTTGCCATCAATCCATTCTACTTTTTTGGAGGTAAGGGTAGTTTATGTATTTTTGGCCTCGAGTTTTAGACCTCGTAAACTTAATTGGGCTTTCTCAGCTTAGCCATGAATCTAATGAAGTGCTTTGGAGGAGGGGGTTTCTCTGGCATATGAGTCAACCTCCAGATCTTCCGTCAGGGTTATCATTGTTACATAGGTCTCAAGTCAATTTAGATTCCTGTCTGTGGTGCCAAGTTTGCTTAACAAAAAATATACAGTAAATACGCAAACACCCATTAACTAATCAATTACTGTGCTATGCTCCCTTCCCCATATGACTCCACAGACCATGGCTCAAAGTGGCTGCGCAAGAGGATGATCTGTGCCATAAAATTAGAAGCTGAACGTCAGGTGCAGGAGCTTGAAGTGATCCTGCTGGAGCATCATGCGCAGCAGCGGGCCATGTATCAGAGGGAGCTGCAGGAATTCGAGAACAGCGCCGAGTTGAAGACATTCATCATGCACCACCAGCAGCAGCAACAAAAGACAGAAGAGAAGCAGCAGCCAGAGGTCAACTCGAACAATGGGGATCTGCAGCCTATATGTTATGACAAGAATGTTGAGAACGAGGTGCAGGAGATAGAGAAAGTAGGGGAAGAGAGATGGCATGAAGAGAAAACGAGGGGGTAGGAAGAAACGTAAGAACAAGAAGAAAGTTCTGGAGGAGATAGAGAAACAAGAGGTGCCTAAGAGAGAGGGTATTGCCGGAGAGCTCAAGCAGGAAGAGGTGGAGTTAGGGACAATTGAAGTGCAGATCATTGAGGCGGTGGCCATGGAGGATGGGATGAATGAGGTAGAGGCGAATAAGGTAGAGGTGTTTGAAGGAGATGGCAGGCAGGGATTTGCTAAAGGGGTAGAGCCAAGTGAGGTAGATGGGAATGAAGGAATGGCCAAACAGGAAGTTGCAAAGAAAGTTCAGAATGTTGTGGAGACAAAGAAAGATGTAGAGCATAGCATTCAGAGGAAACGTAGGAATAGAAAGCTACATAGGACCGAGACGAAAGTTCGACAATTGGAAGAGATGAACGAAAACGAGGAGGCTAAGGGAGAGGAGAATGATGCGGAGCCCAAGAAAGAAGTGGAAAAAGAGGTAGAGGAGAATGATGTAGAGGTGGTGGTGATTGAGCTAGATGAATTGGCCAAGCAGGAATTGGCAAAAGAGGTCGAGTCAAATGAGGTAGATTGCAATGAGGGAATGGCCAAACATGAAGTAGCAAAGGAAGTTGAGAATGTTATGGAGACAAAGAAAGAGGGAGAGAATGGTGTTCAGAGGAAACGTAGGAACAGGAAGCTACGTAGGACCGAGACGAAAGTTCGGGAAGTGGAAGAGATAAAGGGAAACGAGGTGGCTAAGGGAGAAGGGAATGATGCAGAGCCCAATCAGGATGTGGTTGAGGTAGAGGTTATTGACGTCGAGGTGATTGTGGCAGTAGCCAAGCAGGAAGTAGTTGAAGTAGGGACGATCGAGGTAGAGATGACCGAGGCAGTGGCCATCGAGGGTGTGGTAAAGGAGGTAGAGGCGAATGAGGTAGAGGTGATTAAGATGGAATTGAAGGAGGTAGTGGCTATTGAAGTAGAGGAGAATGAGGTGATTGAGGTAGAGGTGAATGATATAGAGGCAATAGAGGTAGAGGCAAAAGAGGTAGGGGCTATTGCGTTAGAGGAAAATGAGGTGGAGCTGAAGGAGGTAGAGACAATTGAAGGCGATACAAAGCAGGAAGTGGTGAATGAGGGAGGGAGATGTGAGCAACCTTGGAGGGCGGAGAGAGGTCAGGAAGAGCAGAAGAAGAATGAGATCAAGCACATCGCATCTCCTAATGGGGAGAGAAAGAAGAGTTTCTGGCGATGGGAAATTCAGAGCTTCTTGTGCTGCACATCGCAACTGGAGAAAGATGAGGAAGAGGAGGATGAACAACGAGGAGGAGACAGAGGACAGGAGCACCAAGACCAGGAGCTGAGAAATAAGAAGCAAGAAAAGTGGTGGAGAATGTGCCGATGGAGAAACTGGCATGTTCTCCCAAAGACACTGAGACGTGGAAGCTCAGCTTGATACTCACACACACATGGACACTTTGTACATATCTATGTATATATATCTTTATCTTTCCTTTAAAATATTTTTTTTGTCTGTATGTGTGTGTGGACATATTTTGTGAAGCTTTTAACTGACAAGCTGCTGGGTTTATGTTTCAACAAACTACACACGTACATTTTTTTCGATTTAAAGCTTTCATGACTGCAGGGATTCATCTTCTTGGTTCTTTCGGTAAAGTCACGTAGAAGGGAAGTAATAAAATTATAAAAACAAAACATAATAAAAAATTCTCACGACGTTTCGGCCACAACGCAAGCAGCCGTCCTCAGGTGAAAACAGGTCTGTTGAGGCGACAGCGTCTGAATGAAACAGCACACGTGCTTGGAGCATATATATAAGCTGGGTTGGAAGGGGGGAAAAGGGCACCTTGATGAAAGAATATGCATATCAAGAGGAATTTAGCATATTTATGGGAAATGCAGGTATGTGATTAGTACTACTTATGCCCGTGCATTATGCAGTATTAGCAGCATCAAAGGGAGGGGATATGGGAAATGCAGGTATGTGAATAGTACTACTTATGCCCGTGCATTATGCAGGATTAACAGCATCAAATGGAGGGGATAGGGGTAGCATTAATAAAGGGAAGGAGTGTTAATAGTATGTAGCTGCAGTAACTAAAACCACCACGTAAACAACTAAAGTATAAACTACATAGTATCATCAGTATACTAAATATACTCTACAATAAGCTGAGTTACTAACAGTAAGTAATACATTACAATTCTACGTCGTAAAAAATATATAATATGCTTCCATCTAAACTTTATTCTCTTACATCACACGAGTCTACACCGTACTATATACTGCCATAGACAAACCCAACATTAAATTATATACTGTATTGCTATGTAATATTACACTATGTATTGTTCTACCCACCTTAATGTATATCACACTGCTGTATATTGACTATACAATTACGATACTATATATTACTTTGTACATTGTATTAAGCATATAAATGTTATACTATTTGTTATTATACACTGTACCATTGACCGTTGTGTGAAAGATACTAAGAGGAAGCAACGAAATATGTCAATGGGTGAGTAGTGAGGGGAAACTTGCAGCGGAGCAAAGAATCCATTCCCTGCGGAGAATACAATACCAGTGAGTGGAACGCGGTCTGAAAGTCACCGTAAACGTGAACACAATCAGTTAAGATCCGAAATGGTTTATTACGTCCTTCCAATGATTGCTAAGCCAGAATCCATCTTCTCGGTTGAAATTGTCTCTGTGTTTGTATATGTGGATCGCCTCATGAACGAATCTCTCATGGTAGCCAGATGGCTTGCAGAGAACCTCTGTCTTGGAGAAGTCAATATCATGTGAGCCCACTGAATTGTAACAGTGATCTGCCACGGCTGAGGTGTTTGTCCTACCATGTTTCAAGTCTGCTTTATGTTCACGGATGCGGTCCGAGACATGTCGTTTGGTTTCTCCAATGTAACTGCTACCACAGAAGCAACTTAGTTTGTAGACGCCAGGGTACTGTATGTCTGGAACCACATCTTTTACAGACGGGACCAGATCACGGATTTTATGTACTGTGTTGAATCGGACCTGGATCTTGTGTTTTATCAGGATTTTGGAGATCGTTTTTGTGACCCCAGCAATGTAGGGTAAGGTGATGGTCTTGAAAGGATCCTCAACAGGATCCTTCTTGATGGTTGGAGTGATGGCTTTGCGGATTGTGTAGTTGGAGTAACCATTAGTCTTAAGAGCTTGGCGTACGTGCTTGAGTTCACTGGCAATGTGTTCCTGGTCGGATATGCATTGGGCTCTATGGTATAGAGTCTTGATGAGGGACTTCTTCTGGGATGGATGGTGGTGGTAATCCGGTTTTAGGTAAGCATCCGTATGGGTGGCTTTCCTGTAGACAGAGTGGCTCATTGAACCATCAGGTCTCCTTTTAATTGGGACATCCAAAAAGGGTAGCTTGCCATCTTTTTCGACTTCCATGGTGAATGCAATTGATGTGGTCGAGAAATTGGTCTAGAGCAGTCCGGCCATTTGGCCAGATGACAAAAGTGTCATCTACGTAGGTCGGGCGTAGAGTGGCAGTCTGGATGGCGTCTGTCTCAAATTTCTCCATGAACACGTTGGCTACAACGGAGATAGGGGGGAGCCCATTGGGGTGCCCTCAGTTTGCTTGTAGAAGGTTCCATTCCAAGTGAAGTATGTATTGGTTAAGCAGTGTCTCACCAGGGGGGGTACCCCAGTGTTCAGTCCTTTATGAACCAAGTATTCAATGATTGCGATGGTGTCAGGTACAGGAACTTTGGTGAATAAGGAAACCACATCAAAACTGACAAGCAGGTCGTCTGTGGACAGGGAAATCCCCTTGATTGTCGATACCAGGTTAGTAGAGTTTAGTACCGCAGAGGTGGTTTTTCCAGTGAAAGGCCGTAGGATTTCAGACAAAAAACGAGCCAGTTTGTAGGTGGGGGAGTTGATAGTAGAGACAATGGGACGAAGAGGTGTATATTCTTTATGTATCTTTGGCAAGCCGTATAATCTTGGTGGCCTGGCTGCAGAAGGTTTCAACGAGAACTGTTTGGTCTGATCAATTAATGCGGTTGAAGCAGAAATTATTTTGTTGGTTTTATAGACGAGGCTGTTGGTGGGGTCTCTTTTTATTTTTGTATAGCTGCCATCGTTGAGTAGTTCTTGAATTTTGTTGTATTCTATTTTGTCCATGATGACAGTGGCATTGCCTTTGTCGGCTGAGAGGATGACAATGTCATCCCTCTTTTTTAATTGAGCTAATTCAAAACGTTCATCTTTGCTGATGTTGCTAGCTGGCATCTTAGCGTTTTTGAGGGTTGCAGAGATTTCAGATCTTGCTACGTCTGCAGCGATGTGACTCAGGCCCTTGAGAGCTACATCTACTCTAGCAATTATATCATTTAACTGCTATGTGTCTAGGTGTGACTGCAAAGTTTAGTCCTTTAGCTAAAACGGATTTCAAACCTTCAGAAATAGAACTGTTACTGCGATTAATTACGACTTTGTTAACGTCTAGCTTTTCAATGTGTGGGTCTGGTCTCTTGTTTGAGAGGCGGTTGAATTTGGAAATCAAGTTGTCCTTACATTTGGTCGACATGGCGGCAGCTGAAGAGGCAGTCATTTTGTCTACATGTTCCCAATCCGATGTGGACATTGTTGCACTCAAACATAAGTGTGATTTGTAGAGTGTCTTGTCTAACTGATCTAGATTGGTGCGCGTAAGTCAGATTTTCTCTGAGATAAGAGCTAAGCTAGTTCTAGACAGAATTCGTATAGCATTAGAAGAAGTTACAGCAGCAGATGTTAGTGAAAATGCGTTTGGCATTACCTTAGAGTCGCGGCATCTCTTCAGAAAGGTGAGAGACTCGATTAGCTGAGCCTTCTTATCACGGAGCTTGTTGAAGGATCTCAAAGTTATGTGGAATCCCTCCCCATAGAGGCGGTTAAATTTCGATTCAAAGCTTTCGTGACTGCAGAGATTCATCTTCTTGGTTCTTTCGGTAAAGTCACGTAGAAGGGAAGTAATAAAATAATAAAAATAAAACATGATAAAAAATTCTCACGACGTTGCTGGGGTCACAAAAAGATCTCCAAAATCCTGATAAAACACAAGATCCAGGTCCGATTCAACACAGTACATAAAATCCGTGATCTGGTCCCGTCTGTAAAAGATGTGGTTCCAGATATACAGTACCCTGGCGTCTACAAACTAAGTTGCCTCTGTGGTAGCAGTTACATTGGAGAAACCAAACGACATGTCTCGGACCGCATCCGTGAACATAAAGCAGACTTGAAACAGTGTAGGACAAACACCTCAGCCGTGGCAGATCACTGTTACAATTCAGTGGGCTCACATGATATTTACTTCTCCAAAACAAAGGTTCTCTGTAAGCCATCTAGCTACCCTGAGAGATTCGTTCATGAGGCGATCCACATATACCAACACCGAGACAATTTCAACCGAGAAGATGGATTCTGGCTTAGCAATCATTGGAAGGACGTAATAAACCATTTCGGATCTTAACTGATTGTGTTCACGTTTACGGTGACTTTCAGACCGCGTTCCACTCACTGGCATTGTATTCTCCGCAGGGAATGGATTCTTTGCTCCGCTGCAAGTTTCCTCTCACTACTCACCCATTGACATATTTCGTTGCTTCCTCTTAGTATCTTTCACACGACGGTCAATGGTACAGTGTATAATAAATAGTATAACATTTATATGCTTAATACAATGTACAAAGTAATATATAGTATCGTAATTGTATAGTCAATATACAGCAGTGTGATATACATTAGGGTGGGTAGAATAATACATAGTGTAATATTACAATGTATAAGGTATAGGGTGGTTTATAGCAATACAGTATATAATTTAATGTTGGGTTTGTCTATTGCAGTATATAGTACGGTGTAGACTCGTGTGATGTAAGAGAATAAAGTTTAGATGGAAGAATATATATTTTTTACGAAATAGAATTGTAATGTATTACTTATTGTTAGTAACTCAGCTTATTGTAGAGTATATTTAGTATACTGATGATACTATGTAGTTTATATTTTAGTTGTTTACGTGGTGGTTTTAGTTACTGCAGCTACATACTATTAACACTCCTTCCCTTTATTAATGTTATCCCTATCTCTTCCCTTTGATGCTGCTAATCCTGCATAATGCACGGGCATACGTTGTACTATTCACATACCTGCATTTCCCATATCCCCTCCCTTTGATGCTGCTAATCCTGCATAATGCACGGGCATAAGTAGTACTAATCACATACCTGCATTTCCCATATCCCTTCCCTTTGATGCTGCTAATACTGCATAATGCACAGGCATAAGTAGTACTAATCACATACCTGCATTTCCCATAAATATGCTAAATTCCTCTTGATATGCATATTATTTTGTCAAGGCGCCCTTTTCCCCCCTTCCAACCCAGCTTATATATATGCTCCAAGCACGTGTGCTGTTTCATTCAGACGCTGTCGCCTCGACAGACCTGTTTTCACCTGAGGACAGCTGCTTGCGTTGTGGCCGAAACGTCGTGAGAATTGTTTTATTATGTTTTATTTTCATTATTTTAGCACTTCCCTTCTACGTGACTTTACTG